GTTTACTGGTTTTCAAAAGTAGTGTAAGATCAAGTGAGATGAGTGTTTTGGCCCTCGGAGTACTAGCTTAATCATCATGTTTGGATCGCAGTACGCGCAATGTAGTCTAACAAGGAACAACAGTGGATGACCCTCTTCAAAGCCGGTGATGCCTTCGTTGAGAAAAGGAGCCGGCTTTTTCCCATCCTTACTGCCATTCCCATGCACAGTGCCTGGGACCGCGGTTGACATGGTAGTATGTTCTGGTTGTGGCAGTCTCTGGGCCGTCAATGGAACCCCCACGCCAGGGAAGAATGAAAGAAAGCAAATCTGCTGCCATTCTCACGAACGTTCGATACAAAAGAGTTCCCGCCTGCGAAGCCTATCGCTGGACATGTTGTCGGAAGGTATTTCACTCCAGAATACGAAACACTTACGACGTATGCAACGGGCCGTCAGTGTGTATGCCCTTGAGGAGGAGGGGTGACTGCTGCACAAGGACAGGCAAATGTTTAGCGTCTACTACTTGTAATGAATAAAATATCCCTCGTGTCGGAATCATTCACGCCGTATCAGTACTTCACACCGAACGAAGAAACGTGCTTGAATGAAGGCTGTCGTCGGGGCATCCACACCCGATCGAATGGTTCCTACAACAGACTAGATGGGTAGCCGGCATTGATCTGTAGACATGCGCTAAGTGTCCTATCAGCCCAGGTTGCACGTGAGTACCGTGTGTCCTTGTTGTTCTGGACGTTAGCTCTCTTATTTCGCCCAGTTGGGGCATGTGTTCCGGACACATGGACCGAGTTCACAGGAAACAAAAAGCGTCTCCATTCAGACCAATCTCGTCTTCGACATTGCAGTCAGGCTGCCAACAATACAAAAAATCTAGGCCGATAGGCGGCAGGCATGCGTCTTGATCCCTGCTGAAGCGCTCCGTCACAACTATGTTATAATACTTATGTAGGCAGGCGTGGCGTCCTGGTCTATCCCTGCTGAAACTCACCCAACATCACCACTTCTACTGTGCTTCCACACGCGACCTTCGCTAGTCACAACATAACACTGAGGTTTCACGTCGAGTAGTCCAGAGCAAGAGATAAGGGACAAACCCACGGCACAGCCTTCTAACAGCTACGGATGGCCGGATTAGAAGTAGTGTTGACATTCCTACCAGTATTCCACGTTTGTCTCTTATGACTATGACTCGCAGCACTGGTCGGCGGTGCAGTCGTCGTTGGTGCAACGGGTCGTGCCGGCGTCCTCGATGGGGATGTAGCCGTCGGGGCACGCGAAGTAGCTGCAGTAGGCCTCGCAACACTGGGAGACCTCGCACGGATCGTCGTCGCACTCGACCTCCCAGGCGTTGGGGATGGGGGTGAATCCGCCCGGGCAGCCGATCGAGTTGCAGTACGTCTTGCCGTCTCCCATGTCACCTGTAGTCAAAGCAAAAACACTTCAGGTAGGCATCGAGAACTGTTTCAAGAGTGCACACGAATGAATACCTTCATTATTCAACCTCTAGATAGGGACGCCCCCAAACCAACTCGGGACTCGGCGAGTTTGACCTATGCCGCGGTCTTCATGCAGGCCGCAATAAATGGATCATTTTCGTTACTTGGTACGTAATGCACTGTTCGTGATATACAGCTGCAATACCCATCTTGAGGTAGCCACCGCAAACCTCCTCCGGACGAACGGTGCAACGAGAATAGTGCTGTACTGCAGTGAGGCCAGGGGTGGACGCAAAAAAAAAAAGGCAGACTATCCGAGGGTAACCGCCACGACTCGAGACCCACCAGAAACGCAGCACTGGTCGGCGGTGCAGTCGTCGTTGGTGCAACGGGTCGTGCCGGCGTCCTCGATGGGGATGTAGCCGTCGGGGCACGCGAAGTAGCTGCAGTAGGCCTCGCAGCACTGGGAGACCTCGCACGGATCGTCGTCGCACTCGACCTCCCAGGCGTTGGGGATGGGGGTGTACCCGCCCGGGCAGCCGATCGAGTTGCAGTACGTCTTGCCGTCTCCCATGTCACCTGTAGTCAAAGCAAAAACACTTCAGGTAGGCATCGAGAACTGTTTCAAGAGTGCACACGAATGAATACCTTCATTATTCAACCTCTAGATAGGGACGCCCCCAAACCAACTCGGGACTCGGCGAGTTTGACCTATGCCGCGGTCTTCATGCAGGCCGCAATAAATGGATCATTTTCGTTACTTGGTACGTAATGCACTGTTCGTGATATACAGCTGCAATACCCATCTTGAGGTAGCCACCGCAAACCTCCTCCGGACGAACGGTGCAACGAGAATAGTGCTGTACTGCAGTGAGGCCAGGGGTGGACGCAAAAAAAAAAGGCAGACAATCCGAGGGTAACCGCCACGACTCGAGACCCACCAGAAACGCAGCACTGCTCAGTGGTGCAGTCGTCGTTGGTGCAACGGGTCGTGCCGGCGTCCTCGATGGGGATGTAGCCGTCGGGGCACGCGAAGTAGCTGCAGTAGGCCTCGCAGCACTGGGAGACCTCGCACGGATCGTCGTCGCACTCGACCTCCCAGGCGTTGGGGATGGGGGTGTACCCGCCCGGGCAGCCGATCGAGTTGCAGTACGTCTTGCCGTCTCCCGTGTAACCTGTAGTCAAAAGAAAAAACACTTCAGGTAGGCATCGAGAATTGTTTCAAGAGTGCACACGAATTCCTTCAATATTCAATCTCTAGATAGGGACGCCCCCAAACCAACTCGGGACTCGGAGAGTTTGACCTATGCCGCGGTCTTCATGTAGGCCGCGATAAATGGATCATTTTCGCTACCAAGCACGTAATGCATTGTTCGTGATGTACAGCTGCAAAACCCATCTTGAGGTAGCCGCCGCAAACCTCCCCCGGACGAACGGTGCAACGAGAATAGTGCTGTACTGCAGTGAGGCCAGGCGTGGACGCCAAAAAAAAGGCAGGCAATCCGAGGGTAACCGCCACGACTCGAGACTCACCAGGAACGCAGCACTGGTCGGCGGTGCAGTCGTCGTTGGTGCAACGGGTCGTGCCGGCATCCTCGATGGGGTTGTAGCCGTCGGGGCACGCGAAGTAGCTGCAGTAGGCCTCGCAGCACTGGGAGACCTCGCACGGATCGTCGTCGCACTCGACCTCCCAGGCGTTGGGGATGGGGGTGAATCCGCCCGGGCAGCCGATCGAGTTGCAGAGCCCCTCCTGTGGTGCGTGAGGAAAGAGTGGACAGGGCGGGGAGAGCGGCGGTTCCGGAGGGGATGGGTGTGAAAATATTAATTAAAAAATGAATCGGAGAATGAATCGGAAAATCACTTGAGCACGCCCCACTACACTACCGTTACGAAATAACGGCTAGCGACGGCGCCGTTTTCCCTCTCCGCTACCGTGTCGAGGCATATTCATACGTCGGTCAAGACAGGG